CCAGCGACCCACCTGAAGCTTAACTGGACTCAGCCGCGCGCAACCAACGACCCAATTTGGATCATCGGCCGCGTGCGGCCGACGACCATTAATAACTGTAATAATTATAATATTATAATAACTTTAATAATCCGCTGAGTCTTGTTAATAAATAAGAAATGTTATATCTTCCTATCTTTGAAATACGTTTTTAAATCATGTCAAACTGATTTGTTTACCAAAGCAGTAAAACCTTAATTTGAAAAAAATCTGGATTTTTTTTTTCGGGCCTGTAATCACAGTTAATTAGTTGGTTTTGGGTCGGGCTCAAAAAAATTTAACTGGTTCGGGCCAGGTTGGATTTTTTAGGCCCAAATGCAACTCTACCAGTAACATACACAAATACGTACAGTAAATGTTTTTTTTTTGTCTGAACAGTGCCGGTAACACGGCTGGTAAAAAAAAATAAAAAATGCAGTAGCCTACCAGGAAGTCATTGATCACTTTCTGCACTTTCCTCCTGCACACCACAGACATATATACGCTGCACACAGCGCCCATGGGCTTGTGTTGTCCTCTTCATCATGTTTCTCCCCCCCCACCCCCCCACCCCACAACGGGGGGGGGGGGGGGGGGGGGATGAAACCAAGTTTTATGGTCCACTGTGACCTGTTTGATCATTTCATTGGCCAGATTATTATTATTTTTTACCTTTATTTATACGGGTAGTCTCATTGAGTCACGAGGACCCACCCCCCAGCTATGTGAGCACCCGGGTGTGACGAGGCTAAATGTTTTGGTGGCTTGAAGCTCGTTAGCCCGTCAAAAAAAAAATAACTTAGCCGCAGCATTCTATAAGCCACAATGTTCAAAGCGTGTGGAAAAAAGTAGCAGCTTATATTCTGAAAATTATGGTACTTAAAGAGACGATCTGTTCATTTTAAAAGGAATGTTTTATCAAATAGTTATCTTTGGTTAGTGATATCGGTGATTTAGCACAAAGTGTGGAGAAAAAAAGCAGAGGTTTTCAACAAAGCTAGGCTAATGGCTAGCAAGCAAAGGCTTGTTTGCTTATAACACAAATATTTCTCCAAAACGGCATACTGATGTCAAAAAGTGCTACATTTGCTAATATTAAACCTTTACACGGACGTTGTTCGTTTGAGAAAACCGCAACCAACTAAATAAAAGGTGTCAAGCAAAAGTGTAGTAAAGGCTCATTATTAGCTAATAGCTAATCTAGCATCCTAAATATTTATTTTTAAAACCTGAAACACGATAAAACGAGCGTTAATTTGGCTAGCTGTTAGTCTAGCCTAGCATAAGACTTCTTTCTCTTCCTTTCCTCTATATTTTGTGATCTACGACTGGTGTTACAGCTAATAAAGTACTAACTGTTGATCACTATTTGACAGAACATCGCTTCAAAAACGATCAGACTATCCCTTTAACGGACCTTTAAAAGGATACAAAGCTCAACAAGCAAAAGGAAACAAGGTTAATGCTAAACTATCAAACCTCCGTAAAGGTAAACAAAACAACTAGAAAGACAGGTAAAATAATTCATTATAGCTGCAAAAATGATCAAAATGAGCTAGTTCTAATAACATAAAATGACTAAATAATTTAGAAATGCAGCAAAAAATAAATAGATTTGGAACGACGACAAACATTTAATGCATTAAGAGTAAAATTAAGAGTATTTCTTATCATTTGAAAGCGATCAGCATTAAGAAGTTTTGTGTGTAATTAAGTTTAATGATCAGCTCTACGGTTTTTGTTGGAGTGGAAGACAAGCTTCACCCACCAGGGTGCAATGTTCTCTCCGTTATAAAGTGTCCATACACCACACCAGCTGACTTCCACCTTTCTAACCAGAGCGAAAACTTTTTTTTTTTTTTTCATATTGAGAAATCAGTTTTGACATCTCACACTTGGAAAAAGAACCTCGCTCAAAGGCACAATGGAAAGTGTATTTTTATTTTATATTATTTGCAGCAGAACATACAGTAATTCATCAACACCCTTTAAGCGGCGCATAATCCCAGACACTCCAGAGGTCTGGCTCTAAACTTTCCCCGCAGGCTCTTTTGTTTTTTGCTCTCATATTCCAGCCTGCGTTGGCTGAGCAGTCTGCAGCTATAAATATTCCCTGGATGCCCAACGTGAAGTAGTGTCAGCGTTGTTACTGAGATGCTGCAGGATGTGCGCGCGCTCCAACCCAACTTATCTCCGGGCAGATATCGACGATCCTGCACTGAGTGACCTCAGTGGCACCAAACTGCATCCAGAACTGTGCTGAAACATGGTGCGCTTTGCAGAGCAAGAACAGACGATAATAAAAATAATAATAAGTCAGTTGGATGATATCGTGTCTGATTATGTTTTTATTGTGTTTTCTCTGCGTGTTTTTTGTGTCTCTTTGTTACCAAAGTGTCTCGTGAACTTTGCAGAAAGTAATCAATCGATGTACTTCTACAGCTGATTAAACATTCACACTATTCGGATCCATTTTTCTTCCGTTTGTTTTTTGGCATCTTTCTTGTTCCATGATTTTTGTGCTATTTCAGCAAATCATAAATCAAAATGTTCAGGTCTTTCAGGACAATCATATGACGTTTTGTATTGGTGCAACTTTAGCTTTTTTAAATATTTAGCCTTTTCTGCCACTTTTTTCCTCATAGAAAGTTAATTGAGCTACTTTTACATCCTTGAAATCTTTAGATCTGTTTACAACCTTTTACTGCTCCTTTCACATTTTGTTCACCTTCTTTCAGATTCCTTGTACACATTTTTATGTTTTTTTCAGCTACTTTCAGCTCATTCCAGTTGTTTTTTCAGCTGTTTTGCACATCTTTCTGATTCTTTCTGCTAACTACAACATTTTTGTGTTTCTTCTAACTTATTTCTGCTATTTTCAGCTTGTTATGCTGCCTTCAGCTTATTTATGCAAGTTTCAGCTATTTCTGTCATTTCAGCTAATATTTAGCTGTTTTATGCTAATTTTAGCTTTTTCGGCTAACCACATTTTTTGCACTCATTTGAACTTTTTCATCCTAATTCAGCAACGTGCACTTTCCAATTCCTTCTTTTTGCCTTTTAGCTACTTTTCAGCTTTTTATTTATTTTTTATTTTTTGCTCATTTCTACTTTTTTCAGTCTAATTGGACAAACATGTTCTTTCTGTCTTCTTTTGCTAATTTAAGCTTCTTCTAACTTTTCACCTAGCTTTTTAGCTTTTTTTTTTTACCTAATTCCAGCTGTTTTCTGATCAATTCACATATTCCATGGCTAATTTCTGCTCCTTTCAGACTAATTAACATATTTTTGCTAATTTCAGCTTGTTTAGCTCCTTTCAGCTTTTTTCTACTAGTTTTGGCTTTTCCTGCTCTTTTAGCTACTTTGATGCCAATTTTAGTTTTTTCAGCCAATTCCACATTTTTTAGCTCATTTCAACTCCTTCCACTTCCTTCAGCTACTTTCATGTTTCTTTCAGCTATTTTTCAGCTCTTTTGTTGTTGCTAATTTCAGCCTTTTTTATTTTAGCTAATTTCCTCATTTTTGTGCTAATTTCTGCTATTTAAACACATTTCAGTAAATATGTGTTCTTTCTGCTTTCTTCTGCTGATTTAGGCTTGTTCTTCCATTTCTGCTACATTTCAGCATGTTTTTAGCTAATTTCAGCTGTTTTTCAGCAAGTTCTTAAAGCATTCACGCTTCATTTTAACAGGAAATGCAATTTATCTAGTTAACTTTAGAGTAAATCTGATTTAAGATGGCTACTATAGTCAGCTGAAGTTTAAAAACCACAAAAATCACTTTAACTTAGTCAATTTTGTAGATTTTGACCTGAAATGTTATGTGGTAGTAGCTGTGAGTCGTCCCCAACACAAACATCAAGACCTAACGGCTTACGTGAGATTCTTGTTTAAAACAATACCATTAACTAATGGAGTCAACTATGTCTGTTAGCAAAATATGTCACGAACCTCAACTTGTTTGAATGAAACTTTCATTAAGTAGTCATTGGTCATTCCTCTACCACTGATCAACTTTTGAAGCCAGCCTAATTCAAGATGGCCGCCACAGCCAATTTACCTTAAAAACCACACAGATACATTTTAATGTATTTTACAGACATTGCGCTAAAACGTGGTGTAGTTGTAGTTTAGAGTCATTCACAACGCATACTCCAAGTACTACTCATTGCACAAGATACTTTCTTGAATCTTCAACATTCACAGTTGGAGTCCTCCCTGTTCGTCTGTTAGCAAAATATCTCATGAACCACTGAACAGATTTTGACAAAACTTTCAGAAAGTAATTATTGGATGTGCATCTACAACTATTTACCTTTTCGAGTTTATAACATTTAAGATGGCGACTACAGCCAGTAGACGTTATCCAACATAAAAGTGGCTATGAGTCCATTTCATAGATATTGAGCTAGAATTTGATGTGGTAGTAGCTGAGAGTCATTCACAGTACAATAAGGGCGTGACAAATTGTGATATCATGTGACGTTATTTTCAAGGTTTGGCATTTTTTATCACAAGATGATGTAAGCTTAAAACTCTGACATGAATGCTGCTAATTTCTACTTAATGAGTATTCTCAACTAAATGTGATGCTTTCATCACGATAACGCCGCAGTTTCCCCATTTCTCTTAGTTGATTTTAATCTGTCCTTTCTTTTAACTGCAGCGTTTACTAAGATGATCACAATAAACGGACAAGAGTACCACCTCCAGCTCGTAGACACGGCGGGGCAGGTGTGGCTCCGTTACACTCCATTAGCCGGTCACAGCTTTATTGACTTTCATGTAAATATTTGTTGGAACAGTACTGAGTTTATACATCTTCTTCCAGGATGAATACTCCATCTTCCCACAGACGTACTCCATAGATATCAACGGCTACATTCTGGTTTATTCCGTTACGTCTAATAAAAGGTAAACGTTCATTAGAAGCAAATAAATTAAGAGCTGCGTTGTGACCTGGTTCTTTGTTCCAGCTTTGAAGTTGTTCAAGTAATCCATGAAAAACTGCTGGACATGGTTGGAAAGGTCCAGTAAGTACCTCTTCTTTTGTCTCTGCTGCCCGAGACATTCCTAATACATCACACAAATAACACCGCGGCCCTTTCTCCTCAACGCAGAGTTCCAATTATGCTCGTCGGAAACAAGAATGACCTACATATGGAGCGGTATGTCCTATCAAACTGAAATTGGATTTCTTTAGACTGGAGCAGTTCAGAGCACTGTAGGGTCTCAGTAATATATTTTTTGGGTATTGCAAAGCCAAATAAGCTAAAAAAAAACCCACATTGGTTTATGTGCATGCAGAATATATTTGGACGAGGCCACAGTGTCTCTGCGAGCTCATTCAACACTAGGTCACTGAGTTTATACACGCCTGCAGATTCTCGTTGGTATATTTTGAAAGTATTTTGGTTGTACGTTTCAGAGTAATCAGTTGTGAAGAAGGGAAAGCATTAGCTGAATCCTGGAACGCAGCCTTCATGGAGTCCTCTGCTAAAGAGAACCAGGTAAATAAATATTTTATTAACGTGTTAGTTGCACTTGCATTTGATGCACACCCGGGGTTGGGTCTGTTCAGCCTGTTTGAGGTGACTGCATTCCCCTGTGGGGTCACTGTCTTTGTGAAAGCGCGTCTTTTTTACTGACTGACTGATTGGTGGGCAGATTAGTGAAGCGTATTGTTTCCAGTAGCATGCCTGAGCACACTGAACCTATTAAAATGCCCGCACACTTGTGGACAGATTAATCTTTTTATATTTGACGCAACATTTTTATATCAGGGTTCTTTTCACTATGAGCTTTTCTGCAGGAGTGCTTTTTGATTGGTTTTGTAAATATCAGAAAACACGTAAAAAAATAAAGGTATCACCGTACAATAAGGGTGCACCTATAAATTATTAATAAATAGATAATAATGCAGCTGTTAATGAAGTTGTAAACACTTAATAAACATGTAATAAGCAGGTAAAGCACGTTTGATATAAAGATCACAGGCTTGTTTCTTGCCATATAGTGAGACAACATTTATCAATATTTGATTGATGTTTAATAACTGTTTTCTACATGCTTATTAATGCTTTGTAAAGTGTTAACAAATGCATGAAAACTCTATTACAAAGCATCAACTATCCTTTATCCTTGTTGTACAGTGCTACCAAAATAAAAGACTCCGGTCTTTATGTTTTTTTTTACTATTCTGAGCTCTACACTGTCCCTAACACTGACTATCCACCCCACTGTAAGCATTGGTCAGAAGACTTTCAATTACTATTGGTTTTTAATTTACTTTTGTTTAATTTGCAGATTGTAATGCATTCATACAATAAACTATTACATATGTGGGCCAACAAAAAACAGCTACCGTACTTGCCGCCATACACGTTACACCGCCGTATAAATTGCATCAGTCCAAATATGTCTAATAAAGTGGAAAAAAACATACATTTCTTTGCCGTATAAGTCGCATCTATTATGCGTCACCGGTGACGCGTCGCGTTTGTTACGTGTTACCGGTGACCACCCGGAAACATGGGCCGGTGTGACAAAAATTGAGTGGCTGCCAAATGTCGGCCACGGGAACGTGCACAGGAGGACTTTAACAAGAATTTAACAAGATTAACGCTTAAAAACAATTATTTGTTTGCTCCAAATTATAGCAAAAGTGTGTCTCTGTCGAACTTTTTCTTAATAAATGCACTATATTGGTCAAATAAGCTGCATTTCAAAAATTGATTTGTGGAAGCGGGAGCGTGCCGAGGAAGGACTCGCTGTGCATTTTGTCAAAATTTAACAAGATAACCACCTAAAAACAATTATTTGTTTGCTCAACATTATAGCAAAGGTGTGTCTCAGTTGAACTTTTTCTTAATAAATGCACTTTAATGGTCAAATCAGCTGCATTTCACCTGGGCGGCACAACAAAATGCAGCTGATTTGACGTTTGCTCCAGGAGTTCTGGAGCAAGATGAAAGTGGCTTGGTATGGCAAGCCAAGTGTCTCATTAATAGTCACTTTTACCTATTAATTAGACACTTGGCTTGCCATATATGTTGAGTACCCTCTAGTGGCTGAAAATGGTAGTGTTCAATATTTTCCATGTCAGAATGAATGAAATCGTCAAATCTCAGTCCAAAATTGGGTTATAAATATGGGTGGGGGGGGGAACGAATATTAGTTGCTTCGAATAAGTCGCAGAACTTGCAAATTTATGCAAAAAGGTGCGACTTATACAGCGAAAAATACGGTAACTATGACCAGTCAAACAGTCTGCTAATGCCAGGTGTCAGTGGGGTTCCTGTTTACATTTTTGGCTTAATTATAAACAGGTTTTGAAAGGATTTTGTCGATGAATCTAACCTAAAAATTAACCAAGTGGTAATTTAATTAAAACAATATGCTTTTCTGTGCATGCAGGCATCTTTGTGCATCTTGCCACTAAAAAAAGGGACTAAAAAATGCCATATTTAACCACCTAATTGTCTCTCTGTAGAGCAGTGTTCTTATAGGCGTTCCTTTTCCAACATCAGGTTGAAACAGGCATTCTCCTTCAGCTTCTGCAGAGCTTCAGTCCAGCTGCAGCGTCAGGGTACACCGTGTTCCAATCCACACTCCATCACAGAGCTAACATGGAAGCAACGCTTGCACTTACACCTGAGCTCAGTTACCAATTATTGCCACAGACATATGTTTGGATTAAAGTCACACCGGCACAGGGAGACCATATAAAGTCCTACTGTGGGAGCTGCAAACAAAAGATTTCCAAACAGCTTTGTCCTAGTCACTCAATAAGAGTTTATCTAATATGTGGGTCATTTATATGATAAGATTATACAGGGAGCGCCAGTCTTGATAAGCTATTAGTTATCCACCATCTGTTGTCAAAAGTTTGATTTATCACCCCTTTTTAAACAATATATTAACGGCTGAACTGTTGGTTCAAAAGCAGCAGTGCAAAGTTTGAAAAGGTTGATATTTGTCGGAGACTTTGAACACACATCTTAAAACTGCGGAGTCAGTCTGACTTCACTTCACCTTGACGATTTGACCACCCTGAGCAAACTAACTGCACTGGATTCGTGGAACAATATTCACAATGTAAAGCCACGGGAAACAAACGCTTTCTGTGTGTGGAAATGCAACGATTGTACTGAATCTGAATGACGTTGAAACTGAATTGGTAAAGCTGAAACAAGCAAAACAGTAGTTCAGTTCTAAACAATAGCTAATGCTAAAATGAGTCTCACTGTACCAAAAAGCTAAAAGAAGGAAAACCATAGCGAGCTGCTAAATTTTGGAAAACAGTAGCTAAATAGCTTAAGTTAGTAAAATAGTAGTTAAGGCTTAAATTAACCAACCCATAGCTGAAAGCTAAATTTAGCAAACATGTAACTAAAAGCTAATTAACAAAACCATTGCTAAAGTCTACATTTAGCACAAAATAAGCTAACAGCTAAATGTACCAAATATGTAACTAAAATGTATAAGTAGTAAAGCATAGCTTAAAGCTAAGTGGTGGAACAGAAGCTAAAAGAAAAAGCTTAAGACAAAAATAGTGAAGTAAACTAGTAGTTAATGCTTAAATTACCCAACCCATTACCGAAAGCTAAATTTAGCAAACTTGTAGTTAAATGCTAAATTAACAAAACCATAGCTAAAGTCTACAGTTAGCACAATATAAGTTAAAAGCTAAATGTAGGAAATATATATAACCAAACGTTAAAAGTAAAGAAGCATATTTTAAAGCTACTGTATGTGTGTTGAAATAGAAGCTAAAAGAAGCAGCTGAAGAAGACAAAAATACGGTAGTATATTAAAAAAAAGTAGTTACGATTTAAATTAACCAACCCATAGCCGATAGCTAAATTTAGCAAACGTAGCTAAGAGCTAAATTAACAAAACCATAGCTAAAGTCTACAGTTAGCACAATATAAGTTAAAATCCAAATGTAGCAAATATGTAACCAAAAGTTAAAAGTAAAGAAGCTCAGCTTAAAGCTATGAGTGTTGGAATAGAAGCTAAAAGAAACGGCTTAAGAAGACAAAAATAGTGAAGTAAAATAGCAGTAAGTATACTGCCAGATATTTTTTAAAGGAATTTGAGAGGTTTCAGTGTTTTCCTGTGGGGGAAATTTTGGTAAATAAAGGTAAATAATACACAATGTACAAAAATACTTTTACTATAATCTAAGTACAAAGCTTGTGGAATTAGTGAATGTAACAAACATGCAGAAGACACTATAAACATGAAAACGGTCTGAATGCTGAGTCAGCAATCACACACTCAGCCAGTGGATGAATCTGAATTAACAAAACAACAGTTTATATGCCGACAGAGCTGCTACATACAGAAATATAAATGAGTGTCAGTGATTGTCCACAGCTGCTCCGCGCTGCATGAGGAGCTCCATTAAACCCCAGCGGCCACCTGACGGCTGTAGAACGCACATCTGGATAAATCTCCAACGTCTTACATGAGAAGTGCTGCAGCAGAGCGCGACGCCATTACACGCAGCCGTCCGCCACGTTTACATTTATTACATCCAAATAACATTAGGACCAGTCGATATGAGAGTCCTGCCTCTCAGGACGCTCAGTCCTATGTGTCGCTGCCTCCTCTTCCAGCTGTTTGTTCTGTTCACTCCTGCGCTGCAGATGCTGTTGTGTAACGTTCGAGCCCTGCACCAGATTTCTTGATGAGACGGCCTTTTCCATTTGTTGTTGTGATGTATCAGCCGTTTTAAAGCAATTGGCTCGCAGTGAGTTTAGTGGTCACCACTCTCTGATATTTCTCAACAGCCAGCCCCGAGGCGCTTTACGCCGCTGCATCTACATGAGCTAAAACAGCAGGTGTGCTTGAAGACGCCTACACGGTCTGTGTTCTGAAGCTCTCCGCTGTGCACCTTTTGTGTCTGAGCTGAGTTTTCTTTCCTTCGTGGATAAAACGTCCGCACCAGCTTAAAAGTTGGTCCCCTAAAATGCTGCACAGTCAGTGAGCCGCCCTTGTTTCTATCTTGAAAGTGTAATTATAATGAGGGGTAATTAAAATAAATTCAAATATAACAAGAAAAAATAGTTTTCACAAGTTGCAACATTCAAGTACACAAAATTCCAACAAAACTGTAGAGAACATCAAACAACTAAACCAGGACTATTCAACTGGTGGCTCGGGGGCCAAATCAGGCCCACGGGTGAGCTCAGTTCAACCCACCAATGGGTTCATTTTTAAATAAAACTATAGATTTTAACCCATAAAACAAACTTATTTAATGACAATGGATGTCCGGCCCCTGAGCTCTTGGCTTTCAGTAACTGTGGCCCCCCTGAGTAATTTAGTTGAATAGCCCTGAACTAAACTAAAAATCTACATTGAACACAAACACAACAAATACTAACAGGAACTCCAAACCAATATAATACAATCACAGAACTTCATAAATAAATAAAACAAAGCTGCGTTTGAACACAACATTTAAAACGCCAATAAAAGTCAAGAAACGTTCAGAAAAGGCAACGTTGTATTAAATATTTCACAAAACACACCAAAGAGGAAAACACAATTTATTAAACAGGACGTTTCAGAAAGACAACAGGAAATGTGACGATGGATGGATCAGCAAAACTTTTTTGTTAGAAAATTAAAACATATTCTAAAACTAAAGAGATAAAGACAACAAAAAAGTTTGTGTGTAAAGGTCGCAACTGATTTCTGACTGTGTTTTTGTTGATTTGTTTGTAAAATATATTTTTCCCCTCTGTTTTTATCAGTCAGCTTTATTGTCGTTGCACCGAAGCGCAACGAAATTCCATTTCACTACAGCCCATCCGAGAGAAACATAAACAAACAAACATGGGGAGACGGAGGTGACTGAGGCCGCTGGCCTCGAGAGGCGCAGCCTTCTTTTAACAGCTAAGGAAAAGAAACATCGGGGGAGTGGAGGTGTAAACAAATCAAATCTCGCACTGTGTCCTAGACGGGACACAGTGTGAAAGTTGCAACAAAAAAAAAAGATCTCAGCACATGAAACAGCAACATACTGATGACATCATAATACACGAGGAGGCCGACGAGGGCAGCGAGTTGTCCGTGGACGCTGCCAGACAGTTCCATAATCCTGATGAAGATGGCACAGTGTCTATCAGCCGGCTCAACTCTGACACAGATCCACAGATGTCCTAGGGAGGGGAGCGATAGGGTGGGCGGAGCTTCTCTTTCACATAAACAACCAGGAGAAGTTTAAGGTAGCTGGCCAATTCAAGGCCGAGTGGGGAAGCCAAATTCAGATAATTATTTTGGGTCAGGCAGCCTCTGCTTGAATTTCCATGCCTTCATATTTCTGCTGGTACGTCTCACTGGCTATTCCAAACAGCCAAATTTTGTGGCCACACCGCCGGACCGAGCTCGTAGCCTTCTCCAAGGTCGATTCCTTCCTGCCAGTGAGTCCCAGGAGCCGCAAGTGGCCTGCGATTCTCAGAAATCACGTCCCGCTTACAGCTCGGCTCATGCAGCGTCTGAATCTGAGAACTTACCGTTCGGTACATTCCTTCATACAAGGCAGACAGCCTTACCGCCAGAACCGCTGCTGCCGTCTTCCAAATTTGTCGATATGGCAGATACCCGCCAACACCGAAAAGCAGAAATCCGGTTATCATAAATCCAATTATCATTTTATTTTGTGCTTTTTAAACATTAGTTGGTTTTGTCGCTGGGTTTTGGCACCTGCACTCCGATTCATTAAATTTGTTGCTTTCTGCCAAAAGCAAAGGCAAAGTGGTGTCCGAACTGTTAGCAAAATATCTCTCAAACCACAGAAGACAGATTTTAATGAAACTTTCAGACATAACAGTACATTATACATTTATGATTGAATAAAAACTTTTGTTTAATTCAACTACAGCTAATAAACATTAGCCAACACAAAAACAGTTGTAACAGTTAAATCTACAAATATTGAATTTGGTGTGGGAGTAGCTGACAGTCATTCACAACACATACTCTGAGCGTGAAATTTGGTAATTGTTGGATAATTTATCTATCCTGTCATCAACTCATTACTCAAATAAGCCCCTCAAGAAGATTGTTCAACCCAGTTTTACTCCTTGCAAGGAGGGCAGAGTTACCACACAGGCTTACACAGATGTTACAGCGAAGCTCCGGTCGAACGGTCTGCCCAAAGAGTTAGGGAAAACTTTAATACCCGCTATCAGACAGAGGCGAGGTCAAGATGACCTCTGCTTCACAGCTCATAGATGTGAAGGTGTCAGAAGTTATCATTTATGCAGGCTCCTCTCTGAGTAGACAAAAAGACTCATGACCTCACACACATTAATTCAACATTGGTAAGTGATACATCCGTGACCTTTACCTAAATTCCCCTGACATTGTCCCCGCTGGTCATGATTGTTTATTGCTTTATCAATAATTCCCTTGCAAGGTAGGATGCCATAAGCCAAATTGTGTCCGATAAAGCAAAACTTTATGTTCAAGGTTTGACCTAAATGGCTATAATATTAATTTATCATCAGAAGATCATTTTAGTCCAAAACGCTGCCATGAAAGTCGGCAGGCGATATGCATTCCTTCAAGGAATGCTACGTCTTTAATTAAGAACGTAACGAACATCATGCTAAAGAAATAAAAGTAGCACAATTCAGAACATCAGGTCCAATCGGCTTCAAATGAAATGTGCGTTCTTTGCTCCTCTCAGACGGCCGTGGAGGTTTTCCGGAGGATGATCCTGGAAGCAGAGAAGATGGATGGCGGCGTGCAGCCGGGAAAAACCTCCTGCTCCGTGATGTAGAGCCGCCCAATCAACACACAGGACACTGCACTGGGAAATCCCGTTACTTGAAGGCTAGCCGCCAGTTCTCCTCCACCTCAGCCGACTCCACCCTCTTCCCCCCAGGGTCCCAAATATCCAACGCTGTCTATTTATGGCTCTGATTCCACTCTTATTTATCAGTATTTCCCATTCCCTTCTCCCATTCTTGTTTTTCTTTATATGTTTGAGTTTTAAGAAATGGATGCGTGGTGGTTCCCTCGTCTCATATTTCCCTCAGCCCATGTCTGTGTGCAGCACTGATGCAAAACATTAAACAGCCTTCGTGGATGGATCAGAAAGAACAGATCCCTGTCACAGAGATATTAGTGGTTTGCTGCATCTTTGCGTCTCGTGCAGTTTCTGTATTGGTTACAGTTCCTCCTCAGTTTAAAGAATACAAGGTGTGTGCCATGCATCTGAGAACGAGGCGAACACGGACATTTTTTTTCTGATACATCCGCAGCTGTTTGACCCTCTCTTTTCTACTTCATCACCTCATAGTTCCAACTTCTCTGTCCCCCACTCTGTTTCCGATTGGTTACTGTCCGCCAAACCTGCATCCATTTTCTAATGTTAAAAATGTTGTACAAATGTTTTTGATTGTAATCATTAAAGCAAAAAGTGGTTATGTACGAACGCTGACTTGTGAGTTACTGTGACTAGGGGGTATTCGTTGACCAAATTACATTTATTAGAAACATTAACTCACAATTTCCCTCACAATAATAAAAAAAAAAAAAACAGAGAAATGCAGCTGAAGTACTTTTTTATTGTTCTCAAAACATGAAAGAAAAGGAAAAGGGAGCAAAATTGCAGCTCAGGGAGAGTTCAGATAAAACTGATTTAGACTCAGATTTGGTAACAGATGCACATAAACACACACACTGGCAAAAACATTATTGCCATTTGGCTCTCCTTTTAACAAAAAAAAAACATCATTTATTACATAAAAGTCTTTTAAAGGCACAATTTTTAAAACTTATTTATTTAGGTGTACGATTACTGAGTATATTTATCTAAAAATAGCATTTTTTAATGTGTGTTGACACCCGGGAGCTGCTTGCAGCTGCTGCAGGAACTTTGAGGATCAGAAGCCACATTCAATCGTGTTTTTCTGTACTTTGGTGTTTTTTACAAGGTGTTGCACATGTCTTCAGTGCAGCAGTTTATGTTGATGTAAGCATTCAGCTTCAGCATTTTGCAGTCGGTCAGAGCCATGCACTTCTGGTAGTGTCCATCTGAGGAAGTCATATGAAGAAGAGTTATGCAAGAAGAAAATATGAAGGCTACAACACATACATGCAAAACTGAGCATAACAGCTAAGAACGCTGTAAACACCAGGTATGAACCCAGTATGTACAAGATAGAATCCTTATACGTACTGGGTATGTACTATTTGTGTACCAAGTATGAAGCAAGTCAGTAACAGAGAAGTGCCCAATAAGTGCTAGATAACCTAGTCGCCATGTAAGTACCAAAAAAGGCCTGATGTGTATCAACGCAAGTATCAAGTTTGCAGCAGGTACCAGGTGCATACCTTATAAGTCAGGGGTGTCCAGTCCTAGTCCCTGAGGGTCACCACCCTGCATGTTTCACTTATTTTACTCCTGATTCAATTATTAATAAACCAGAAGCCTGTTAATCTCCCATAGATTCAAGTCAAGTGTGTTGGAGCAAAGAAGCATCCAAAATATGTAGGATAGTTGGACACCTGTTATAAGTACAGTATAAGTACCAAGTAAGTACTGGGGACATGCCAGGTTTAGCCAGGACGTAGCAAGTAAGTGTCAGGTAAAGTACCAAGTAAGTATCCAGTACATACAAAATAAGTAACAGCTTATGTAGTAGGTATGTTTCCAGTAAGTGCCCATGTAGGTACCAGCTAAGTACCAAAATACGTACTAGCAGGTAAGTGTCAGGTAAGGTACATGGACTGCACTTATACAGCACCTTTCTATCTTATCAAGATACTCAAAGCTACACTACAATCTGTGCCCTCATTTACCCATTCATACAGCACTCAACTAGATCTATACAAAGACTAATCAGTGCTTTGAGATCACATTCATACACCGATGGGACACACATCGAAGGCAATGAGGGGTTCGGTGTCTTGCCCAGAGACACTTCAGCATGTGACTGCTGGTGGAATTGAACCCCCAACTCTTGCATAGGAAGACGACTGCTCTAACCACTCAGCCACCCTAGCACCAAGTAAGTACCCGGTACATACCATGGAAGCACCAGCTTATGTAATAGGTATGTTTCCCAGTAAATGCCCATATAGGTAACAGCTAAGTACCAACATAAGTACTTGTTAAGTACCTTCCAAGTAGCCAGTATGTACTAGATAAGTAATGGGTACATACAACTACTGTATGATTGTTGCTACTTTTGTTGCTACTTTTAGCAGTTATTCTCATTCCCTGACTAGAAATGTATAAAATGTTCAAATGTTTTACAAAACCTGTCATTTAACAAACTTTACTAAGATGGTTTACCTTCAAACTTCCCTGTGTGTTTGCTGGTATTACTGTAAACGTGAAGTAGTGACAGATTTGTTCCGTGTAATCGTAAAGAAACTCACATGGTTCTCTGAGGAAAGTGGCGGCAGCACACGCATTCTTCCCGGGTTTACACGACTCCACGCTGAGCTCACAGTCCTCTCCCGCCATTTTAGGGACACAGCGGTGACAACTCAAGGCCTCACCTTTGAACAAAAACAGAAATGAACATACTCAGGTCAATACTGTGGTGTTTTTTCAAAATATACCTGGATAAATGTGGCTTATGTTGTTCTATACTAAAATAGTAGCATTTCTACTTATAAGGTTTTAGGGCAGCCAACTCGGGACCTGAAAGTCCCTTGATCCCCAGTCATTGCACATCTGGTGGTGTCTCTGATCAGCACACCCTATCCCCAATTGCTGCCCGGGTTCTTTCAATAGCTGTCCACTGCTCCACCTGGTGGTGGATGGATTAAATGCAGAGAGCCAATTTTGCCATTGTATGGGAACATACAATGACGGCAACACATTATCATTATTATTATTACATAGATGCTATTCCTGTCAATCACAAATGAGTAATTTTCCTTGTAACTTTTTATGCCTCAAATCTTTGACTGTTGACAAAACGTCATTTCTAACAGATCTGATGTAGTTGATATGTAGTGCGGGGAGGACTTATTAGATCTCTGCTGCTCAGCACCTGACGATTGTGTTTATCTAGTGGAGAGTAAGTGACAAACTCACCAGCTGTAAACAGCAAGGCGACGGTTAAAGCCAACACCAACAACTTCATTGTTCTGCTCCAAGCTGCAGCCTGATTCAGATAAAGCACACATTTGATAACACACACACATACACAGCTGCTGCAAATCTCCAGAATTTGCAGCTAAATGTTCCCCAAAAGATTTATAACAAGTCTGTGTTAGATCCATGTTCTTCCAGTATAAACAAGACATTTGAAGTTTAACCAGTAATACTCACATGTACTTAAAAATCAAACTAATTTTGTATTTACATCAGAGACCAGTTCCTAAAGGAGCAGGCAGTGTTAAATACACAGATGAAGATAACCATTTGTATCCAGAAGCCGTTCACATACCTGTCTGCTTCAGTATCTGCCAATGACTGAGGTGCGTTCAATGACCTGTCCTCGTTTTATACTTCATACTTTGTCCTGCCATGGTAACGCCCCATAAAGTGTGATATCCATGTTTGTCTATATACTCAGAACCTTACTTGCCCTGGGTACACTGTGTGCAGGGTGGCCCAACGCCTTATGTAAGAACAGTCCAGCCTTTGTTCGATTGGGGGTTTTGGAGATAGTATTGTATGCCCCCATTTCAGACTCAAATAAGGATTGCTATTAGCTGGATCTGAGATTAGTCAAAGGTGCAGCATATTTGCTGTAGGTGGATTAAGCAGGACGAAAATGAGATGACTCACCTTTAGATGTTTCAGACACGTTGACTGAATTCAAAGATCAAAGTAGGACTTGAACAATTATTTGGACACACCTTGTTGAATTCAGGTGTTTCAGTCAAGGTTTAGCCTTAACTGCTTATCTTGATAAATACCAGTAATTTAGCTCAAGTGCTGGGAATTTAGATTAGTTTACATATACGTATACATACATGTAGATGTATTTGTGCTGGCTAAAGTCGTTTAGCAGAGTTAGCTATCTTAACTTGGAGAATGTGTGGCAAATGACTCTCAGCTACTACCTCATAATTATTTTGTTCAATGTTGGAATTACAGCCATTTATTGAGTTTAGTAATGTTAATTAACTGTGTTGGCCATTTTGAATTGGATACTAAGCTCTCACATGATCTGTAGCACTTGGAATTTGCGTTGGAATGACTCATCTACAACCTCACCAAACGTTAGCACAACATTTGTAAATGGGATTGAGGTATATGTTTTCCGAGGTTGGTTGGCTCTGACTGCCATTTTTATTTAGGTTGGCTCCAAAGGTTTACTCTATATAAGTTTATTTAAAACCTGTCCAGGGGTTCAATAGGCGTTTGTTTTTGTAACAGACTCTCCACATGCACACATACAGAGACATGGGCAAAAACATTATCATCCACTGTCGAAATGCAAAGATGGGTGATAATATTTGGTCACAAATTCCATCGGAAACACTTATGGAAATTCAAGAGGAGTGGAAACTGTTATGGATGTGAAAAGGAAACCAATGCCATGTTAGATGCCATGTGGTGCAATGAACAGATTGTCAAATTCTACACCATCCTGCTCCAGGAGAATGTGGAGAGCTGGTGCAGGAAGAACAGCCTTCACATCAATGTGCAGAAGACGAAGGAGATGGTCGTGGTATTCAGATGGAACGAACACACCCCCCCCCCCCCCCCCTCCCAACATAGGAGGATCTGCGGTGGAAGTGGTTTCCAGCTACAAGTACTTGGATGTACACCTGAATGACAACCTCAGCTGGAGCAACAACACCACCAGCCTGATCAAGAAAGCTCATCAGAGACTCTACTTCCTCAGACGGCTGAGGCAAGTTGGTCTGCAAAGCTCAGTCCTCACCTCCTTCTACTGTTGTGCAGTGAAGAGCATCCTGTGCTCCAGCATCAATGTGTGGCATGGAGGCTGCACAGCTACAGAAAGAAAAGCTTTGCAGAGAGTGATGGAGGCTGTACAGAAGACTGTTGGAGTCAGCCTCCCCATCATCACAGACATCTACACCTCCAGATGCAGGAAGAGGGCCACCTGCATCATGAAGGACCCCACTCACCCAGCACACACACTTTTTGCCCCACTCCCCTCAGGAAGGAGGTTGAGGAGCATTAAGTGTAGAACCACTAGACTGAGGAACAGCTTCTACCCTGACGCTGTTAGACTCATGAGTATCTAACCAGGATAATCACTGTGAAGAATCACATCATGTTGCTGCTGATCTGTTTCATGTTGATGTGCTCATCTGCTCACACAGACTCATGTTCGTGCTGCTGTTTGGCATGTTGTTTTTACTTTGTATACTACTAGTGCTTAGTGTGTTTTTAATTTAATGTTTTTCTTAGTTCATATCTTAGCTCTTATTAATGTTTTTCTTTTACATTTTATACTTGTGTTGGATGTAACTGGGATCCTGTGTACACAATTTCGTTCCACCGCATGCACCACATGTGCTTTGTATGACAAATAAAGAACCTTGAATCCTGCTGTCCTTGGGTCAAAATGACCCACAAGGCATTAACCAGTCCTTGCCGGTCATTTTGACCCAAGGAGGTCAAAAGCGGGAGGCTTGAGTACAGTATAGTGTGCATCAAATAGAAATGCCTTCAACATTTTTTTATTTCCCAGCAAAATAAAATGGTATGTCTTAAGCAGAACTTCTATTTTTTTTTTTTGTTGAAACATTAAAAATATACTGAGTCACCCGTTTGATCTCCTTTAAAGTTTCCTTTCTTTTCAATACCAAACATCATCTTAAAATTAAAAATAATTAAATGTATTAAGGCCAACTGAGAAAGAAGAAAAAGGTTTAATTATGGAGCGCCTCTGGAAAAATGCTGCACATGTTTTAAACTTCTCGTGGCTTTAACGACAAGTTTACTAAACTTTGTGTCCACCCGACTGTGCAGTGTTTTATCTCCACTGACGGAGGTCACACAGCATGCTTGCAAACTAAGCTGTATTTTCTTTGTAACCCCCTTCCCCCTAGCTTACCTCGAGTCAGCCAGTGGTTTAATGTCACGACTTTGAATCTGTGTTTGTCTTTCCGAGGTTTTCAGGGGTCAAAGTCTAAATTTATCCGGGGATTCTGTGGATCAGCTGTAGAAAAACAACATGAAGGGATCCTGAAAAAGCAGCAGGTGATTATAAATTCCAGGCTTGAATAAATATTGTATTTTAAAACCGCTTCTCTAGTAGTTCATTATTTTATGGGGTGTCGTTTGTAAAGTCACACAGTCAAAAATTAACATAAATGTTTTGGTTTATTTAACCTTTATTAAGAAAAAAAATTATTTTTTTTTTCAAAGTCATTTTCACCATGTTATTCATACATTTATAACTGTCATAGTTCCAAACAAGCTAAATATTTAGTTTACAGACTAAATACTTAACTTGCAAGTTAAATATTTAGTTAGTAAACTAATTATTTAAGTATAAATCAAATATTTAATTTCCAAGCTAAATATTTATTGTCCAAGCTAAATATTTAATTTCCAAAGTACATATTCAATTTCTAAGCTAAACATTTTTATTTCCAAAATAAATGTTTAATTTGCTAACTAAATATTTAACTCTCACCTAAATACTGTATTTAACTTGCAAGTTAATATTTAGCTTGCAAACATTTAATTATTTAGTTTAGGAATTAAATGTTTAGCTTAGAAATTAAATGTTTAGCTTAGAAATTAAATATTTAGTTTGGAAATTAAATATTTAGTTTGTAAATTAAATATTTAATTTGGAATTACACATTTATAAATGTATGAATAACATGGTGAAAATATGACTTTAAAAAATGTTCTTTCTTATTAAGGTTAAATAAACCAAATTATTGCTGTTAATTTTTAACTGTGTAACTTTACAAATGGCACCCCATATTATTTGGACTATTTCTTCACTTTTACCGAAGCCTGAACATTTTCTCCCCTTTGTTGTTTTCTTTCTCATGCCCCATCATTTAGATGTGACCCAAATGTTTCTCTGCAACCCCCGGCATCTCTCTCAAAGCCCGATCAAAGCTGAATCTTTCCCACTCTATTGTTTGTTTTTTTCGTCCTCGTTTGGCAGCAAACTCCAATATCAGCACTGGCACATGTATACAGGGGAAACTGCCCATTTGGCGAAATGTTTAAACCCCCCCATTGTTGTGCTTTTGTTGCGTCTGCTTCGACATACCACCACTCTCTCTGCCCGCCATATAAATCTGGGAGTTAAATTGGTTTTTCACTTTTATGCTGTGAGAATTTTGGAGAACTTAGGAGGGGAAAATGTCTCAGTACTCAGGAAAGGTGAGTACCACAACAGTAAATCTTTCCCAAAAGGTTTCAGGGGTCGGTTACGTCACCTGTATTGACTGACTGTTTGACAAAGGAGATCGTTTTGTGCATGAATTTACTTTTTTCCCCCACTAAATTGTTGTGAACAGATCGTGTTCTATGAGGGGAAATGTTTCACGGGGAGGAAGCTGGAGCTCTGCGGCGACTGTGACAACTTTCAGGACCGTGGCTTCATGAACAGGGTCAACTCTGTCCGGGTGGAGAGCGGGGCCTTTGTCTGCTTTGACCACCCGGACTTCAAGGGTCAGCAGTATATTCTGGAGCACGGCGAGTACCCTGAGTTCCAGCGCTGGAATGCCCTTAATGATCACATGGGCTCATGCAGACCAATCAGGATGGTAAGAGTGAATGAGGGAAAAACAAAATGTCTGGCTGGTTAAAAAAAAAAAAAAAGAAGCCTGGTACATTGGCATGTATGTGTCCTCATTTGTTCCCATCTGGTTGCAAAAGAAATGAAAGTCTCTTAATGTGTATAACTTGTTTGAATGCAGGGATCATGTTGCAGTTCAGCCACATTTTAGAACCTGCGGTTAATGGAGAGCACTGCAGAACCACAGTAATGAACCACAGGCTTTATGCTGACTCAGCATTTGCAGTTTTCCTGTTTTTTTTTTTAAATTTTCTGTAAAAGAAAATTTAAACTAACTACTTCTGCATACTTTATGCAATTTTAGTCATTTTTATGTCAAACTGTTCAGCTCATTCAGGAGATTTGTGCATTGAAATTTGGTTTTTAAAAGCTTTATACTTTTTACTTTTTTAATCTTTATTTACAAATACTTTCTACACGTAAATACATTTACATTGTTTCGATTCCTTCAAAAATATTGTTCCCTTTGGAATATTCTTCAGCATGCTCTAGCTTTATTTTAGGTCTTCTTAAATGCTTTTCTCTTTGCTACCGTTCTGCTAGTTTTAGCTTTTAGCTAACCTTTAGCTAACATATAGTTTTTAGCTATTTCTTTGATTATTTTTAGGAAGTCTTCTTTCATTTGCTACTTTTAGCTTCTTGCTAAACTTTTTTTTTTGCTAGACTTTTAAAAGTTTTAATTAGCCTTTTGCTATTTCTTAGCTAACATTTCATGCTTTTAGCTAGCCTTTTGCTTCTTTGAACTTTTAACTAACACTTTGCTATTTTTGTGTCTTTTGATACTTTTACCTAACCTTTTTGTACATTTAGCATTCAGCTAGCCCATTGTTATTTTTAGCTTAGCAAATAATTTGCTACTTTTAGCTTCATGCGAGATTTTTCAAACTTTTAATTAGCTTTTTGCTACTTTTAATTAACATTTGATGTCTAAGTTCATGCTCAATGATTCAGGTGGAAAATCCAACAAAGTTCAGTCAGGTCATCTGCACGGTTTCTTTTTTTGTTTGTTGTTGAGACGTTTCGTCCTTAATCCAAAGGACTTCATCAGTGGCTCCTCGGACGGATGAAGTCCTTTGGATGAAGGACGAAACATCTCAACAAAAAAAGCAACTATCCACATGACCTGAATGAATTTTGTTGGGCTAACATTTGATGCTCCATAGCTACAGTTTTGATACTTTAACTTTTAGCTATTTTTTTGCTACCTTTAACTAGCATTTAGCTACATTTAGTTTTTGGCTAGCCTTTTGCTACTTTTAGCACATGCTTTGCCTTTGTATTTTTAGCTTGTGTATGCATTTTTTAAACTATTTAACAGTCATTCAACACTCAGTGTCCACGCTGCATTTTCACAGAAAATCTAAATGATCATTCTCCACACACACACACACACACACACACACACACACACACACACACACAC